CGCTGCTGCTGCAGTAGCTGCTGGTGCAGCAGCAGCAGCTACTGCAGCAGAAGCAGCAGCAGGGATTTGTTGAGTGGAGGCGTTGTTTGATTGTTGTTTTTCTTCTTTTGTCTTACAACTGTTATTTATTTGTCTTTCTTCTTGAATTTATTTTTAATAGAGCAAATAGAATTGCTTTTAATACCTGATTTCTTTTAGTTTAATTAAAATGCAGAGCATCTCGCTGACAGCTTCCTTCAGGTGTACGTACACCGCAGATAAACGACAGAGGGGAAGTAAAGAAGAGACAAAGAATAAACCCAAAGAAATATATTAAAGGAAGACTAAGTAATAAATTATTAACAAATAAATAAATGTTAATGTGCTGTTACTCTGTGATTTTGAGAAGCAACAGGATATTGATTATTCTTAGTCTTTTCTGTTGCTGCGAAGCTGCTGGTGTTGCTGCTAATGCTACTGCTGCTGCTGCTGCTATTGCTGCTGCTGCTACTGCTGCTACTGCTGCTGCTATTATTGCTATAGATACTGCTCTTGCTGCCGCTGGTGTCCCTGCTACTGCTGCTCAAGTGCTGAGCAACTGCTGCTGCTGCTTGTTATGCTGCTGATGCTAATGCGCCTGCTGCCGCTGTTGCTCTTGCTGCCTATGCTGCTGCTGCTGTTACTACTGCTGCCAATAATACTGCTGCTAATGCTGTTGCTACTAGTGCTGCTGCTAATGCAGCTGCTGCTGCTGCTTCTGGGTTCCGGCGTCAGTCATGTCAGTGGCTTCCTCATTAATATTATTTGCATCATTTAAAATAATAAAATACTGCTTAAAGAATTCAAAAAGCATTTTATATGCAGAAATATATCTTTTTTAGTCATCTTATTCTTCAATTCAACGCTGCCATCGATACACTGACAGAGCAGCCAGGCTCTGTGGGTAAAGGAGAGAGAAATATAGAGAAAATGAATATTTTTAAATTTTATATTGTGAGTTTGTATTTTATTTATTTCATTTACTGCTTTTTAATCCTCTTTTTCATGATTTTAACCTCAACATAACCGCCGTTCAACAGCAACTCCCCTTGTCCTATGACCAGTGGTCACTGGAGGTTTCTGCTTCGGAAGAACGCCGATTTGTAGTTTATTTATGTGTTTTAAATTGCATTTAATTATTTAGTTTGCCTTATAAGTTGATATTTCAATTTAATTGCCAAATTTAGATCAAAATGGGAGGAGAAAATAGCGAAAATAGACAGAGGGCTGCAGAGAGCGGCGCTACTACATGAACGCCCCTGTCAGGTGTATATGCAGGTTCAGGTTTCCGTTGAAAGTTTGCAAAGGCAGTGAACATATTTATTTATTCTTCATTTACGATATATTATTTATTTATTTATTTATTTATTTCTTTTGGCATTTCTTTGTTCTTGTTTCACACAAATTAGTGGCAATACGCTGACAACTGCTGCAGCATTG